TGGGAGACAGAAGAGGAAATTCCTTGCTAATCAAATCTCTGAATAGGAGACATAGGTGGATTTCCTTATCTGAAGACTACATAGTAGAATCCTGAAAAACTAGCCAGAAGACTTGTGGATTTCTTTAAGGTATAGCAGGTGGGAAACTTGACTAGTTTAAAAACAGGCAACCTGGATGAATTTCCACATCTAAAGGCCAGACAGCAGGATGTTTGAGTAATTCTTTAGAAGCTGAGTAGAAGGCCAGGTGAGAAAATAGAATGATAAGATTTGGGTTTTCCTCCATCCATCAGGCAGTGAGAGACTTTGCAAAAACAGCCCTTTTGTGTTTATTTATCAGTCAGTAGTCAAGTCACTTCACTTCAGGGGAATTTCTCACCCTGGTGCAGAGCTTGCTTGTCAGGGCAGGCGGCCTGGCCTCGTGAGGCTGGCACACGCTCCCCTTTTCCTTCTGTTCTCCCTTTTCTGGGAATCTTGGCTCACCCACCCCCTCCCACCTTGAGACCCTGGCTAGCCAGCCCCATAAACTCTACTTTGCAAATTGCATTCTTGTGTCTTCCAGTAATCCAGTTCTCAGACCCTAACAACCCCAGGCAACAACTGTCACAAGAATGTCATCAGGGAATAGCCCCGCCCTGACAGGCGCACTTTCTGCCCTCTCCAGCCCCCTGTCTCCCTTCCCTGTTGTCTCCTTAAACACTTGTCCTGCGCTGACCGAAGGGGACGTCCCCACAGTATTGGTCAAAGGCGCCCAAGAACCAACCCGTCCACGGAACTCCTTTACCTGAAATCCATCAAAGGGGCTTCACTGTCTAGCTCAAACGGAGGCTCCTGGTGCGTCTAGCTCCCCCTGGACCCTCGGCCTGGTCGCACACCTGTCGCATAGCAGACCTGTCACGAAGAAGGCCTGGTCGCACACCTGTCGCATAGCAGACCTGTCACGAAGAAGTGCGGGTGAAGCTGGCTTCAAGGAAGTTCCCTTTGCGGGGAACAGGTGCATGTCTCCACTCCCGTTTTGCTAAAAGATTCAAAACATGTAACTATTTGATTTCCTAGGCCACAAGAATCTGTTGCTTAGTGAGCCAAGATGATAATGACTCTCCCATGAGAAAACAATATTGACCTCTGTTAAGTTTTAGTAATGGTAACTTGATGTTTCTTAGGTAACAAGTGATTGTTTTCTATAGTGATGTTTCTAATGATTAAGTATGGCTTTCTGGAATATGAGTACTTATAAATTAGCACTTTGATAAAGTAAAAATATGTAAAGTTGGGCCCTCGCTGGTGGCCCAGCGGGTTAAAGCACAGCACTAAGAAGCTAAAGCCACTTCCACAGGAGTTCGATTCCCGCCTGCCCTGGAGGTGATCCACATGGCGTGGCAGACCTCTCCTGACCCGCCCGCTGCTCCCCTCAGCAGTGTACTTGGTTGATCTGCCTGTTCTGCTTCCCACTCTGTCTCTGGTGAAGCCTCCCACCCTCCGCATCACTGGCCTGTATCCCAGTTCTGTATGAATAAATAAACAAATCTTAAAAAATATATATATGTAAAGTTTCCCTTCCTTCCCAACAAGTTTTGTATGATCAAAACATGTGGTCATGACAGGTATCGAGTAATAATGCCAAAATTTACCACATAAAAACCCTGCTGTCCAGGCAATAAACGGAGCAGTTTCTCCAAGCTTTGGAGTGTGCTCTCTCATTTTCTCTTTTACAGAACCTCAGTGTGGACACTTTCTCCGCCCTCTTCAGGATGGAACCGAGGTTGGGGCAGGTCCCCAACAGCTCCTGCTCATTTCTTACTCCAAATAAATGCATATTACCCTTTTTTAATTTTTAAATATTGTGCTTAAACAAAAGGTTACTATAACAGGCCCTCCCTGGTGGCGCAGCGGGTTAAAGCACAGCACTGGGAAGATAAAGCCTCTTCCGCATGGGTTCAATCCCTACCTACCACAAAGGTGACCACATGGTGCCGCAGACCTCTCCTGACCCGCCCGCTGCTCCCCTCAGCAGTGTACTTCTTCGTCAGTCTGCCTGTCCTTCTCTCCACTCCATCTCTGGTGAAGCCTCTCGCTGCCCCAGCACCTCTGGCCTGTACCCCAGTTTTGTATGAAAAATAAATAAATCTTTTTTAAAAAGGTTCCAGTAAGTACAAGAGGTCTGGGCCTCCCCAGGGGTGCAGGGGCTCATCTCAACCCAAGCAGCTATTGGCAGTCACTGGGGCACAAGGCACAAGTGGATCCTGCCCAGGAGCTACCCCAGGAGGTCCAGTGGTCCTGGAGTGGTGTCCAGTGCTCCCATACTCCTGTAGTGGTGTGTTTCAGTGGATCCACCTGTTCTGCTGTGGGGAGTCCTCTCACCTCTCACCTAACTGGAGCACATGTCTGGGATACAACCAATACAGGAGAGCCACATGACCAGCACAACCACGTGTCCAAGCCAGGTGTGCCACGTGACTGCCACGGGTCACGTATCTGGTGGGATGTAACAAGTGACCACTGTAGGTCACTGTTCTCGGGAGGTGTGCCACATGTCCGCATTGGGTGTATCGCGTGAAAAGTCATGTATCTGGGTATGGTGTGCCACGTGACCACTATTGGTCACATGTCCAGGTCGGGATGCCATGTAAGGAGTCATGTGTCCAGGTGGGGTGTGCCATGTGACAACCATGGGTAACGTGTCTGGATGGGGTGGAACATAACCACCATGGGCCACATGTTGTCATCTGGCGTGCCATGTGACCAGTCATGTGTCTGGCAGGTGTGCCACGTGACCACCACTGGTGACGTGTCCAGGTCCTTTTGCCACGCAACCACTCACGTCAGTTGTGTGTGCCACGTCAACAATGCAAGTCACATGCTCGGGTTGGGTGTGCCACGTGACCACCAAGGGTCTTGTGTCGGGTCCATGAGACCACATGACATGTCATGTGTCCAGATGGGGTGTGCCACGTGACCACCAAGCATCATGTGTCAGGGTGGGTGTGCCCCATGACCACCATAGGTCACGTTTCCAGATCCAGTATGACACGAGACCACCACGGGTCATGTGTCAGGGTCCATGGGGGCACATGACATTTCACATGTCCGAGTGGGGTGTGCCACGTGACTGTCATGGATCACGTGTCCGGGTGGGTATGCCATGTGACAACTGCTGGTCATGTGTTGGGCTCATGTGTTCCATGTGACAAGCCCACATGTCCATGTGGGTTTGCCACGTGATAGCCGCATGTCACATGTTTGCATCACCTGTGAGACCTAACCACCAGGAGTCATGTGTTGCTGTCTGACATGCAACCACTGGTGATGTGTCAGAGTCTTTTTGCCACGTGACCAGTCAGATGTCTAGGTGTGCATGCCACGTGACCACTGTGCATCACGTGTCAGGTTGAGGTGCACCACCTGACTAGTCACGTGTCTGGGTTGGGCATGCCGCGTGATGAGTGTCCGGTGGGGTGTTCCACGTGACTACCGTGTATCATGTCTGGGTAGGGTGTGTCACTTGACCACAAGGTGTTGCCACGCGACCACCACATATCACATGTTTACATTAGCTGTGCCACCTAACCATCACGGTCATGTGTTCCCGTCTGGCATGCCACGTAATCAGTCACACATCTAGGTAGGTTATGTCCCATGATCACCGTGTACCACGTGTCTGGGTGGTGTGTGCCACGTGACCACCACAGGTGGTCACGATTTTCCATCTTTATAAAAACACATTTTTCTCCAACAAATTGGCCTTTCATTACAGGAAGGTGGAAATCAAAATCCCCAGGATACAGGGTAAATTGTTTTTCTCCCTTCTAGGATCCTGACGCCTACACAGAGGAGTCCAGCAAGTGGTACAGGGCAAACTGGAGGGCAGGTGCAGAGCCAGGGCTGCAGGTGCAGGTGAGGGCTTGCAGTTGCATGGTGGGGCTGCAGGACCGGAGGGGAAGCCCCAGGGTGCTCCCACCAGTCCTGCTGTGCCTGAAGTTTCGAAAACCAAGTTGAAATGGAAGCAAAACCCCACATTTCTTAATCTGCCATTCACCTAAGGCTCCTGGAAGCCGCTGAAACCACAAGTCGCGTCAGCGGCATTCAACATACATCAGGACCGTTACCATGAACACAGAGTCCTGGACCCTGCTCCCACAGTGGGAAAAGGGGTGTCCTGCTCCCTGAGGCCTTCCCACCTGAGGCTGCGGGTCATGTTCTGCACTGCCCCATTACACAGCTTCAATACCAGGCCCCTGCCCCACTGCGGCCTTTGCCCCCAGGGCTGCTCCTTCCTTCACACTGTGAGTGGGGGTGGGGTAGGGTAAGTGGAGCCAGCACTGCTCACTCCTGGGTCTCCCCACCTTCCGTCTTCACAGCTGCTTGTGCTTCAGCACATAGTGACATGATGTAAATACAGAGAGGAATGGGGGAAGGCAGAAGCTGGGTGGGGCGGGCCTGGGAAAGGGCAGAGGAAGGAGAAACTCACGGGCAAACCAGGACTGTAAGGGATGGAGCGCGTGCAGCCTGGTGGCGCGGCTGCGGCCAGGAGTAATAACAGGCAGAGACCACAGCAGGTGAGAAGTGTAGGGGAGACGGGCTGCAGCCGAGATTGTGGTGCCAGGCAGGACGGGGAAATGGTGGCCAGGGTGTCCAGGGCAGGAAGCCAGCATGGGCAGGGGCAGGGAGACCGTGGAACAAGAGAACAAAGTGCGGGGCCGGCCAGGTGCAAGAGGGATTCTGGTGCATTCAGACACAAGAATGCATGGTACCACTGCTCTGCAGGGAACTTTGCATCAGAACACTAGAGTCTGGAATTTGATAGAGATAGAGATAGATAGATAGACAGATAGATAGATAGATAGATAGATGCATATATATATGCATGCATGTATGTATATATTGAAAGAAATAGTAACAAACAGACATCCCACTAATTGGGAAAAAAGTTTTTCACACAAAACTAAGGATTGATCACAAAGATAGGCAAAGAACTGATGAAGCTCAACAAAAATAAACAACCCCATCAGAAAATGGGCAGAAAAGCTAAAAAGACACTTCTCCAAAGAGGAAATGCAGATGGCCAACAAGCATAAGGGAGATGCAAATTAAAACCACAATGAGATACCACCTCACCCCAGTGAGAATGGCACATCTTCAAACAACTAGCAACAACAAATGTTGGCG